CTATAAGTTTAATTGTGTTAACAAGTAGTAAAGCGTTGTTATTGCTTTAACAAGTATTGTAAAGTGTTTTTACTGTATTAGCAAGTATTGTAAATTGTACTACAATTAGGTCATCGTTAGCAATTATTTAACAATCCAGCGATACGAGCCCGAGTATATTTGGGTAATCCCTCAAGGTTTCGAGGATAATCGTAACAATATTCTTATTTTTCGTCTAAAAATTATTGTAAATATCAATTTTGAGTGAATAATCTTCAGTAGTTACAAAAATATCGCAGTTTTCGTATTTCTGAAAATTACCGTTATATGGGAGGTAGGCGTGGTTATTGTCCGATTTCACCCATTTTCAATACCATCCGTCCTGCGCCCAAAAGAAGTTCACGTACCAAGTTTCGTTAAGATATCTCAATTTTTACTCGAGTTATCGTGTGCACAGACGGACGGACGGACGGACGGACGGACGGACGGACGGACAGACAGTCACCGCTTAATCGATTTCTCTTTTCATTCTGATCATTTATGTATACATTTGTCTATATCTGTCTCGATTCGTTTTGCCTGTTACAAACAACCGTTATGTGAACAAAGTTATAATACCCTTGTGCACAAGTGCGCTCGGGTATAAAAATAATTGTTAAAGAGGCACCAGTTAATAGTGGTTAGAGCAAGTAGTTTTCAATAATAACACTATGAGGCAATGTTAACCCTTTCAATCTCGAAACAATTTACGCGGTACTCGACATTTTTGAAGACCCCTTTTAATTTGTTGTGCTATAAATATGAAGTCGTAAACATTTTAAAGATTTAAAAACATATCACTTATGATTTGACAGAATGTACTGAATGAAAATTAAAGTTTTTATCAGTGAACCAATTAAATGGCAGGCACAGTTAGTAAATTTATACATCGAGTGGAAAATTTTCGATGCATCGAAGCAAAACATCTATATTTTCGATGCATAGATGTTTTTCCGACATCCCTTATATAAAACGTCAAAAGAGAGATTCGCCCGAAGCTCCTATATAGATTGCTAAGGCCGGCCATGTATCAATTGAGAAAGAATATTGCATACAAATTTTATATATAAACTTTTCTCCTTTTTCAGAACCTTTTTGATGAGCATTCACAAACTTTCATCAATAAATGGCTAGCTAAATTCGGATATTTATGCGAATATTTGATTGACCACCTGGAAAAAGAACATATCCTCGCCATGTTATCTCTCATTGGAACAGTCGTGTTCATGTTTGCTGTTGGATATATTATGGTATATTTTGTTCGAGCCGAAGAAGAAAGCTTGAAAGAAAGGGGACAGCTGAAAGGACATCCCAATTTTTGTAAGTAGTGTCTTAATTTAACTAAGCCTAAATGTTTTTTAAGCGCCTTTTAGCGTATGACATGATAAATGCTAACACAATCAGTTTTTTTTGTATAATCTCACTTGTTTAAGTATTGCATCTTTTAATTTAAATCAGCAATGATACGTGTGGGCATTTCCTGCGTTATGGCCCTTTCATGCAGATACACTTTTTTCAGCAAAAAACAATAGTAGACTTTAGATCAGGAATTTGTTTTGTCACAAATAGCCATCATTGTCCTTCAGCCAACACAAATACAAATATTTGCCATGAATAGTATCTAGTTAGTTTAGGGCGCCTTAAAGCTCAGTTATTCTAAACCTAATTTACGTAACTTAACTTAACTTAATACTTTGGCCAACCTGTTATTTATATGAGAAACTGTGTTGGCGGTTAGTTAAAACTTAACTTACCGTAAGAAACTTAAGAACCCGTAGTTTTTAGATTCTGAAGTTACGGCCATACGGAAATTGAGAGTGGTGAGAGAATAAGGCGTGCCAGATTTTCGTTTTTGCCTTTCTTAAAAATAAATAACCAGAAATATTTTTTTCGCGGACATTATAGGCGGGGAACTATCGAACAGTTTGAAAATAAAATACAACTATAAAAAGAAATATCTTCGCTTCTGGCTTAAGTTGACGTGTTGAGTAGTCATTGACGATTTCTTACGGTAAGTTAAGTCTAGACTAACTGAGCGTTTAAAGATGCCGTTCGTACATTACTAAAGTATACCGCATGTTGGAGACATTTCTTACTTTCAATTCGATATTTACAATTTTCCGGGATCCTGGGATTAATGCAAGCAAATCCCGGGATTTTCGGGACCTGAAAAACACCGGGATCCATAGGGTAGACATTCAAAAAAAAAAAACAAAGCCCGCTGCGCTTTTGAATAATACAAGTAGTATGTAAATAATATTGTAACAGTATCAATCTGAAAACAAAATAATTGAATTAAATAGTTGGTATTATTTGCAACACTTATGTATTTTCACATATAGTATTATGATAATTCGAACGATTGGTGTGGTAAGGTTGGGTGCTTTTATCCCCATTTTGACAAAATTTTTTGGAGACTTCAAATGCTAAGAAAGTCGGATAACGGAAGAAAAGCTATGTATGCGCGAAATTTCGATTTCATATCGCTAATTTACTTCAACAGTGCGATAATCCCAAAAACACAAATATTGAGCTAAGTATTTAAAAATTACCGCTACCTTTTCTTTTATGTTGTGTAAAAATTTCTTAACTGTACTGATTACCAGTATCTCACAAGAACAAAATATGTATTAATTTACACTTTGGGATTATATGTATGCCGTTTTTCTCTTGTCTTGCTTTTTGCGTTATGACAATATTGAAGTAAATGAGCGATACATTAATTAGTATGCTTTTTATTGAAATTTTAAGATTTGGTTTGTATGGGAAGTAGGCGTTAAAATACAGCAACAACGAAATATTTTTTTTTTTTAAATTTATATTTATTTATTTATTTATTTATTTATTCATTCAGTAGTAATCTAGATTAACA